TATATATATTGGGACATTAGGCCATTTAAGTCAAACTCACACACACAACGCATACACATGGACTCGAACCTTGAACCTCTTAGTTGTAAGCCTAAGCATTCAACCAATAGGCCAAGGGGAGTTGTGTAAATAGTATATATTAATTTGTCAATTTCTGGTGTGGAACCGGTGAGGAAACCTTCAATCGACCTGCAACTGAAGACCACAAGCACAAAAACGATGGCAATGGAACAATAACTGATATTGATAATCGGAAAAAACTAGCTATCCCTTTCCTTACATTCGCTTAATATCTATCATCTAAATTAAAAGAGGACAGTACTGTAATTAACTAGTAAAGTAATAATTAAAAAGTAAGCATAAGGCCTCAGGTAAAAAGCTGCTGGAACGACTCAGCCAAAATGGACACGTTGGCAGACCATTAGAGGCATTCTGGTATACCACTCCCTTGCCTGGTAAATGATACCACATCAGGTGCCACCGGCTGCATAAAATTCAGGTTCTACCTGAATGTGAGGTTCACCGGAATCATCCGGGGGATGGTAGGGGAAAATATCAGCAACATTGAAGGTCTTGGACGTGCGCATGGTATCTGGTAAGTCAACGACATAAGCATTGTCGTTAATACGTCGAAGGATGGGTACCAGACCGAACTTGCGTGGGCTTAATTTGGAGTGAGTTCCAACGGGAAATTGATCTTTACTGAGCCGGATGAGTACCAGATCTCCCGGTTGAAAAGATAAATGCCTGCGATGACTATCAGCAGCCTTCTTATACGTAGAATTGGAAGAAACAAGTTTCAGGCGCACGTCTTCGAGGACCGACTGGCAGTGATCGGTCAATGCAGCAGCAGATTTGTTTGCACATTTCGGTAGGATGGCTATGTTAAACAAGTGATTCGGGGCCTTTGTATAAACAATTATAAACGGGCTCTGTCTTGTTGATCGATTTGGCATGGAGTTAAACGCAAACTCAGCTTGGCTGAGGGCGTTCTCCCACTGCTTTGGCTGATTCTGTACTAAACATCGTAGCATGTTACCAAGTGTACGATTAATGACTTCCGTTTGTCCATCAGATTGGGGGTGATAAGCAGAGCTAAGGTTTAGCGATGTGTGGAGACGCTTCCATAACTCACGCCAGAAATGGCTCACAAATTTGACGTCTCGATCCGACGTAATACTTCTTGGTAGGCCGTGTAAGCGCACAATTTCATTAAAAAACAAGCGCGCTACATTGACAGCGTCAAGAGTCTTTTTGCAGACCACAAAATGAGCCATTTTTGAAAGACGATCAATAACAACCATAATAGAGTCAGCTCCTCGTTGTGTTCGTGGCAGGCCCAATACAAAATCGATGCTAATGTCCTCCCAAATCGAATCAGGAACTGGTAGAGGGGTATAGAGACCCGTATTTTGCTTTGTGCCTTTGAATTCCTGGCAGATAGCACACCGTTCAATGAACCGGGAGACATCATGGTGTAGTTTTGGCCAAAAAAATCTCGCCTTGAGCTGTTGCACCGTTTTTTCTCGGCCTAGATGAGCTGCCAATCCCCCAGCGTGGGCTTCTTTCACCAACTGTTGCCTATATGAAGAATCAGGTATGCATAGAACATTACCTTTAAATAAGTACCCATGCCTGAGAGAGTATTCTGTGACTGGCTGCATTGCAAGGCACTGCTTCCATATGAGGGAAAAATCAGGATCTTCGGCGTAAAGTTCTTTGAGACATTCAAGACCGGTGAGTTCCGTTTGGAGCTGTGTTACCAAGGCAGTTCGTCTACTAAGTGCGTCAGCCACTCTATTTTGATTACCAGACTTGTGCTTCAGGACGAACGTGAACTTTTGAAGGAAGAGGATCCACCGTGCGTGCATTCTGTTGATTGTTTTTTGGCTGTTAAGAAATTGTAGTGCCTTGTGATCACTACTCAGTATAAAGTCTTGGTGCAAAAGGTAATGCTCCCAATGCTTGAGAGCTCGCACCACCGCATAGAGCTCTTGCTCGTAGACAGTCCACTTCTGTCTGGCGGTGCTTAGTTTTTCGCTAAAGAATTCTACGGGCCGCTCGGATTGAGACAAAACTGCTCATATGCCGACTGTAGATGCATCTGTGTCAACTTGAAAGGGCAGCTCAAAGTTGGGTAACGTAAGAAAAGGGGCGGCACATAGCGATTGTTTCATTGTATCCCAACTTCTTTGGCGTTCTTCATTCCAAGAGAATTGCTTAGCCTTTAAGCAGTCGGTGATAGGCGCCATGATGATACTAAACCCACGGATGAATCGTCTATAGAAGTTAGTAA